GCTAGTTGATGGACTGGTGGTGCGGCGTTTCTTTGATGGAGCAATGGTACCTGCAAATCGGGAACAAATAAGTACCTCCCAACACCAAAAAGTGTGACGCACTGCAGTTACTCTGACTTCTCGCACATACGTGGTCACCATTATATAATTTCAGTCATTGAGGCCTTTTTACAAACACCTTATGGGCGCTAGGTACACACAACCTATTCCAAACAATTTGCAACATGAACCCACCACCAAATCTCCCAAATGTCACCAATCAAGTAAACAACACTCTATAATTCTCACAACTCATAAATACTACAATAATTACTACCAATTCTACTATTAACCAAACAAAATAAAAGATAAATATCTAAAAGAAAGCGTGCATAAACACACCAAATCTGCAGGGATTATTTGCAATAAAGAGAAAAAATTTAGAGCAAGATGAACATACCTTTAGTGAATGAAGATTAAAGAAGAAGGGGAAGGGCAAAATGTGTTGGAGAATTGGAAAAATTTTGAAAAAAATGAAAAACAAAATTCTGGAGAAGGTGAGTTGAAGAAGAAGGAATTGGGTAGGGTTTCCTTAAGTGTTGGAGGCTTGCGTGTTGGTAATGGGAGGGGTTTAGGGTGTTGGGGTTATTACAATGGGGGGGAATGAGTTAGACTAGAGAAAGAATAATTGAAAAATTAAAAAAAATCAGAGCAAAGAATAAACAGGTATCAAGGGCAGGACGCTATTAGCGCGTTCATATGCGCGATTGCGCTAAATTAGCGTGTCCAATACAGAATGTTTTGCCAAGTAGCGCGTCTATTAGCGAGTTCAGATGCGCGATCACGCTAGTAGCACGTTCAGATGCACGTTCAGTAGCGCGGCCCAGGCAGAATGTTTGTGCCATGTTAGCGTGTTCTTAGCGCGCCTATATGCGCGGTCGTGCTAGTAGCGCGTCCATGAGCGCGCCCATAAGTGCGGTCGCGCTAACTGGGCTTCAAAATCCTGAACTTTCACCTTTTTTTCATTTTTGATTGCCTTATCATCCGCCCATTGTTACCTGCATTGGTTAGCATTTTCAAAAAACTCACAATTAATTACTACTACGACCGTCGGGTTGCCTCCCAACCAGCGCCTTAGTTAATGTCGTGGCACGACGTAGATTAAGCTCGTTTAATGCTCGCTCGACCTTTGCGGTTCAACAAGAATTCTTACGGATAACTCTTTTATTTCCTCCATCCCCACATACAGTTTTAGTCGTTGTCCATTAACTTTGAAAGTGTTAGTGCCATCTTCACTGGTTATCTCCACAGCCCAAGACGGGAACACTTTGGTCACCTTGAGTGGCCCAGACCATCGGGACTTAAGCTTACCCGGAAACAATCTCAACCTTGAATTGTACAATAATAGCTTGTATCTAGGTTTGAAATTTCTGTCCACAATGTTGTTTGTCATGCAATCTCTTCATCCTCTCCTTGTAGAGTCTCGTGCTTTCAAAGGTGTGATATCTGAATTCCTCCAACTCATGCAACTTTGCCAGTCGAGTTTCTCCAGCTTCATCAGGGTTCATGTTCAATTGCTTTAGTGCCCACCAAGCTCGATGTTCTAGCTCTACAAGTAGGTGACAGGCCTTCCCAAATACCAATTTTTATGGTGACATACCAATAGGTGTTTTGAATGCAGTCCTATAGGCCCAAAGTGGGTCGTCAAGCTTTTTTGCCCAATCAGTTCTTGTGGCGTTTACAGTTTTAGTGAGTACACTCTTGATCTCACGGTTTGAGACCTCTACCTTCCCGTTTGTTTGAGGGTGATATGAGGTTGCTACCTTGTGGTGCACATCATATTTAGCCAAAACCTTTTCAAAGACACGATTGCAAAAGTGCGTACCCTCGTCACTAATGATGGCACTCAGAGTCCCAAATCGGGTGAATATATTCTTCTTCAAGAATCCAACCACCACTCTCGAATCATTGGTGGGGAGTGTTGTAACTTCCACCCATTTGGATACATAATCCACCGCAACAAGTATGTACTTATTTCCATAAAAACTGACGAAGGGACCCATGAAATCAATTCCTCAAACGTCGAACACCTCAACTTGCTGAATTGGATTCATGGGCATCTCATGTCTATGGGATATGTTTCCCGCTCTTTGGCATTCATTACAGCCCTTTACCCATTGGTGAGCATCCTTAAAGATTGTTGGCTAGTAGAACCCTGCCTCTAACACCTTTGTTGTTGTCCGAACTCCTCCAAAATGTCCTCCATAAGGTGATACATGACAAGCCTGCAAAATAGAACATTGTTCTACCTCGGGGACGCATCTTCGGATCATGTTATCAATGCAAATTTTAAACACATGCGGTTCATCCCAGTAATAGTTTCGGCAATCACGATAAAATCGTTTCTTTTGAACATAGGAGAGTTCATATGGTTCAATGCCGCAAGCCAAATAGTTTGCAATATCAGCGTACCATGGCACATCTTTCACACTTGTGGCTAGCAGTTGCTCGTCTGGAAAAGTTTCCAGAATATCCTCACACTCAATTGCATTTTTAGCACCTTCAAGGCGCGACAAATGATCAGCGACTTGGTTCTCCGTTCCCTTACGGTCACGAATCTCCAAGTCAAACTCTTGCAAAAGTAGCACCCAACGAATTAGGCGCAGCTTAGACTCATTTTTATCAACCAAATACCTAATGGTTGCGTGATCTGTGCACACTATCACCTTCGACCAGATCAAGTAAGACCTGAACTTATCAAAGGCGAACACAACAGCCAACATTTCTTTTTTAGTTACCGTGTAATTCAGCTGAGCACCACTCAATGTCCTACTTGCATAGTAAATAGGGTACATTACCTTATCCTTCCGCTGTCCCAACACGGCTCCCACAGCGTAGTCACTAGCACCATACATGAGTTCAAACGGTTGCTCCTAGTCGGGATCAACTACAATCGGTGTTGTGACTAGCCGCTTCTTCAGTTCCTCAAAAGCGAACCTGCAATCATTAGAAAACATAAATGGGTTATCTTTTTTGAGCAACTTACAGAGGGGATTTGCGATCTTGGAAAAATCCTTGATGAATCGCCCGTAGAAGCCGGCATGTCCCAGGAAGCTACGAATAGCCTTGACTGATGTTGGAGGTGGAAGTTTTTCTATCACGTCGACTTTGGCTCTATCCACCTCAATCCCTTTACTTGACACTAAGTTCCCCAAAACAATTCCTTCTTGTACCATAAAATGGCACTTCTCCCAATTTAGCACTAGATTCGTCTCGATGCACCTTTTTAGAGCACGGGTTAAATTTGCTAGGCATTCATCAAAAGAATTTCCCACCACTGAGAAATCGTCCATGAAGACCTCCATAATGTCCTCCACCATGTCTGTAAAAATGGCCATCATGCACCGTTGGAATGTTGCAGGTGCGTTACAAAGGCCAAATGGCATTCTCCTGAAGGCAAACACTCCGTAAGGGCAAGTGAATGAAGTATTTTCCCTATCCTCCGGGGCAATAGAAATTTGGTTGTACCCCGAGTATCCGTCGAGAAAACAGAAGTGTGACCTTCCTTCCAATCTATCCAACATCTGATCAATGAAAGGAAGTGGGAAATGGTCTTTCCGGGTAGCCAAGTTCAGCTTCCTATAATCCATACAAATTCTCCATCCTGTGATGGTTCTTGTAGGAAACAATTCGTTGTTATCATTCTTAACTACCGTCATGCCACCTGTTTTTGGTACACATTGAACTGGGCTAACCCAACTACTGTCAGAAATTGGGAAAATGATTCCCGCATCTAACCACTTGATCACCTCTTTCTTCACTACTGCCTTCATATTGGGGTTCAACCTTCTTTGGTGTTCTCTGGAAGGTTTGTGTCCTTCTTCCAGCAGAATTTTATGCATACAGTATGTGGGGCTGATTCCCTTTATGTCTGCCATGGTCCACCCAATAGCAGTCTTGCACTCCTTAAGTACCTACAAGAGTTGTTGAGTCTGCACATCTAGCAAACTAGATGAAATAATAACAGGTAATATGGAGTTAGGTCCAAGAAACTCATACCTGAGATAGGCTGGCAATGGCTTTAACTCCAACTTTGGTGGTTCTTCGATTGATGGCTTGGCTGGAGAAGCTTCTCTGTTCTCCAAGTGCAAGGGCTCAAATTCAAGTGTTCTATCCCAGAACCCTCTACCTTCTAATGCCATTACCCATCCAGCCAGTTCTTCTCCCTTTACCTCATCAAAGTTCATCAGACACGCATCAAGGGGGTCTTTAATAGTCAGCAGTTCATTATCGGTCTCTACAATTACCTCCACGGTATTTATAAAAGAGCAATTGGTGAATTCACTTGGTCGCCTCATAGATTTCTGTACGTTGAATGTTATTTCTTCATCGTTCATCCTCATTTTTAACTCCCCAATTTCACAATCGATTAAAGCACTCCCCGTGACCAGGAATGGTCTTCCCAAAATTATGGGAATCTCTTCATCTACTTTACAATCTAAGATTACAAAATCTACAGGGAACACAAATTTCCCTACTTGAATCAACACATCATCTAGAATACCAGAGGGTCGCTTTACCGTCCTGTCAGCCAGCTGTAACAATATAGATATGGGTCTAGCTCTTCCAATACCCAGCCATTTATAAATTACCAAGGGCATAAGATTAATGCTGGCTCCTAGATCACACAGTGCTTTAGCAAAGGCAAAATCACCAATAGTGCATGGGATTGTAAAGCTCCCTAGGTCAGATAGCTTTTTCGCAATTGGTCTAGTCACCACTACACTACAGGTCTGGGTGAGAGTAACTATGGCTAAGTCTTGGAAATCAAATTTTTGGGACATTAAGTCCTTCATAATTTTTGCATACCTAGGCATCTCTTTCAAAGCATCAATTAAGGGAATGTTTACCTGGATTTGTTTTAAAATTTCCAAGAACTTCTTGTATTGCTCCTCTTTTTGGTACTTAGCTAGCCTCTGAGGGAAGGGTGCAGGAGGTCTCTTCTTCCCAATCATTTGGGATCAATCCTTATCAGCCACTACATCAACCACTGGTTCCTTTGCTATTTCAGCTTCTTTCTCGGTCTCAATTTGAATGCTACCTTCTTTGTGGGCAGGCTGGGCTGTCACTTCTGTTAGTTTCACTGATTCATCCAACTCTATGGGCACTGATATAAGTGTCTTAGCTTCCCTGGATTTTCGAGCCCTTTCTTGCTCTACATCCAAATCTCTGCCATTACATAAGCTCACCGCCATCAACTGCTTCGGGACTTGATCTTTTGGATTTACCTGGGTATCTGCGGGTACTGTTCCATGAGGGCGATTGTTTAGAGACATCGAAATTTGGCCCATTTGCATTTCAATATTCTTGATCGCCGAGTCATGTGCATCTACTCTCTCACTAATCTTTGCACTAGACCCAATGACCAGTTGCATCATTGCTTCAAGTCTAGCAAACCCATCTTCCTGCCTTCCATTGTACTGCTGCTGAGGAGGGTGATACCCCTGCTGTTGATTCTGATTACTGTATCCCTATGGCCTTGGGTAAGGTGTTATATTGTTGGAGGGTTTCATACCTCCTATTTTTCCACTATTGAATTGTGATTGGGCTGGCCTGTATTGCTGATTTTGCTGACTCCAATTCTGACCACCCTGTCTCTGGCCTCCATAATTAGACACATAGTTCATAGCTTCAGGGTAGTGCTGATGATCGTGTCCTGTAGGCCACTGATTACCAATTGGATGACTAATGCAAGATGTGCACAAGCCCCCATTAGTAGTATCTACAATATGTACCTACTATTTTTGCCCTGACTCTTCCACCCTTTTGGTGAGTATGCTCATTTGTCTCAATAAAGTGGCCATATTTTCAGCCGTTGAATTGGATGGATCTAAAGTCACTGAGTGAACCACTAGAGTGATAGATGCATTTCTGGTTATCCATATTGAATTCTGCGCCATCTTGTAAAGCAGACATTGACCTTCTCTCCATGTTTTACTCAAGAATACTCCACCCGCTGAAGCATCAACAATGTTCTTCACGCTGTCTGACAATCCTATGTAGAACCGTTTTCCCAACATCAAATCTGGAATGCCATGGTGCGGACATATGACCAGCATCCCTTTAAAATGCTCCCATGTTTCATGCAATGTTTCCATTGGCCTCTGTTTAAAACTCAAAATGTCATCAATCTGCTGCGCGGTTTTGTTGGGGGGTGGAACTTGTTCACGAATTGCCGGACTAACTCCTCCCAAGTTGTTATGGAATTTATGGGGAGTGAGTTTAACCAGGTCTGGGCATCTCCGGTCATTGAGAATGGGAACAATAGCAACTTGATTGCTTCTGGAGTTACATTGGGTTGTCTTTGGGTCTTGTAGATTGACAGAAAATTTTTCAAGTGTTGTTAAGGATCTTCGACATGTGACCCCGAAAATAGCCCATTGTTTTGCAACAAATGAAGCATGTTATTCGTGATTTGGAATGATTCAGCTTGTATCTGCGGGACTAAAATTGAGGTGGCCAAATTTTCAGCTGTGGGTTGCGCCCAATCATAGAGAACCGCCTCGAGCATAAGAGGTGCAATTGGTGCTATTGGTACAGCTGGGTGTTCTTCGTGATCTCCCATTGTTGTTTCGATTGGATCAGTTGTTTGTTGTTGTCTGTTTCTCCGGTTGGCCCGGTTCAAGGCCTTGAAAACGTTCTCGGGATCTAAAAATGCGTCAAATACTTCACCAGTTCTCGATGAGTTTCTAGGCATGCACCTGTGCAACCAAGTCAACAAACGTTAAAAATTTCAATGTAAAAATTGGGTGTAGAGAAAGCTAACTACACTAAGATTTTTTTTGTACTTCTTTCAATCGCAATTGATAATACCGTTAACTCCCCGGCAACGGAGCCAAAATTTGATCACGCTCAACTAAGCCTATTAAAAGACTACGCGGGCGTTGCAAATATAAT